GAGAGTTACGAGTTACAGCGGAAAACGGTGGATTATGTGTGTTTAACCCTCCCCTGCCCGCCCGCCCTCCTCCCTCGTCCCGGTCCCTTCCCCTCGGCTCCACCGTCGTCTCTAGCCGTTCGCCGTGCAAACGCGCTTCCGAAAGCCCCCGAGTTATGTTTGAGCACGAAAAGTAAACTTCGACTTCGTGGCGACGTGAGGCGCTTTGTGAGGATTAGATGGCCGCCACTGGGTGAATCGATTCCTTTGTTCCGACTTCCGCGGCGCACGGAATCGATTCTCCGCGGGCGGAATCCGCCGCTGCATCGACAGCGGCCGTCAAGGTCCGGCAGACCTTCGCTCGCTCTCTCTCGTGCGTGCGAACGTTTTCAAGAAGTCTGAGACTCGCTGAGAAGAGAAGAGATCGAGGTCGATTTTTCGTAAACAATGGCCGTGTAATACGGGACGATAACAAAGAAGCTCGGAATGCTCGTTTTAGACGCGACTGATGAGCTCTCGATGAGTCGCATCCGTCTATTTTTAATTATTTAATTGTTTGTTTATATTACAGGCAAATATAAGTTAAAGATCTGAGATATTATTTTCGTCGATGTCATCATTTACCGCTCGTTTCGGGCCTCGGAGTTCCTCCGAGAGAATTCGGCATCGAATATCGTAATAAAACAATGTAAAAATAACACCCGAGAAACGGCCGAGGCGCGCAACAACCCCAAAGTACTTATTATTTCGGGAACTGTGCGCGGGGACGTTTAAGATCTCGCGGGCACTCGAGATACCCGAAACTCGAGAAAGACACGGGTGAGATTAAACGGACGTCCGCAGCCTCCGCAGTTGCAGACGCGCCGCGTGCAGCTCGGCTTCTCGGTGACGCAAAGTTGAAACGCGGAAGTTTAAACCCGAGGAAAAACCAGCCTGGTCCGACGTGCAACAGGTAGGGAAGCCAGAGCGGCAGAGGCTCGGTGCAAGCGGGTCGTCCGCGCGCGCGAGCGGCCGGTGGACACCGCGGGTGTAGCAGCGATGGCGATCGGCGAAGTCAGCTCGCAGCGAGATTTAAGTCAAGGCGAGCATTACGGAGGAGTCTGAGGTCAATTGTAAACCAGGGCCAATTGCGGTAATCACCGCGATATCCCAATCCGGACCTTCGGCAAGACTTGCGTAAGAGACACGGTCGGAAAATTCCGGAACGCCAAGCGGCAAACGGTTTGAAACGAGAGATATGTCTGCGCGGAAAAAATTACTATGATTGTTATAACATTCTCTAAGGTTGGAAAATAGATGTGGATTCAAGTTGTAATGATATTATTTATTATTGAGTATAGCTGTTCAGATATACGCCCATTTATACGGTTCTGACAAGCCGTCTTACGATAAGTAACATTTGGTTAAAGTATTTTCACGGTTGCCTTAACCGAAGAATTATTGCTGTCTTTCTAATGTGGTCTGCAGAACAAATAGTATGATTGAGAGATCTATAAGATATATTTGTAGAGTACAACATCAAGAATTCAGTTCCATTAAGATAAAGGAAAGATCACCACCAACTTGCGAAGAATTTTCACATAAAATAAAATGTGTGGTATCATGATGCTTATTATTGCATATTATTGTGTATTATTAACTGTGGATAATTATGGAAGTTTTATCTTCAAAGCATAAAATTTGAACAATCTATTCCATATTTTCAAAAATAACATTCAAAATAAAACATTTTTTAAGTTACATTTTTATTATGGTTATAGGAGCTAGAAATAATCATTATAACAATTATATAGTTGTTGCCCTCACTATAGTTGGAACAATCGAATACAGATCACTTTCAGAGTACTACAGTTCCTATAACTCTTTTGTACGGACAGGCCAAAAATAGTATTATTATTCTGTTGTGGCAACCCCTAGAATTTTTTGTCCGTGTATTTTAAGGCTACACACACACACACACACACACACACACACACACACACACACAACAATCGT